CCAGAGCTGGATGCAGCCCTGCAGGTGGGGTCTGAGCAGAGGGGGCAGAGGGGCAGAATGACTTTGAATTAATGTTTAACCTATATTGGCACACAGGACAGTTCTGGCTGCTCTCCAAAGTCCATCTCTCCCTCTTCTCCCCAGAGCCATTAGGATATCCTGCTTTGCATTAACAATGGCAGAAAAAGCAGAGGGTGCTCAAGGGATATTTTCTATTTGTGCAGGAGGAACACAAGCTTCAAACTGGCGTATACCATAAAATGCAAACCTGGTCTCCAAACCTCACTGGCAGGAGAACCTCTCCAGTGCTGACAGAAACACGGAGCTCTGCCATTCCTGAAAGAGGTGTCCTGTCTTAAGAGGTAGTTAGCTACCATGAAGAGAATTAACTCTATTCTTGCCGAAATTAGCCCAGGTAAGAATGCTCTTAATTACAGACTACAACATTTTGGTTGAGAAGAGGGCAAAAGGGATGGTCCAAAAATGTTAAACTTAGTAGGGTTATGAACACTCAGTCTCTCTTGACACCCTTTCCATAAATTATAAAGTGAGGGATCCTTTGAGAGGGTGAAGAATTTGGATCTTCCCCACTACACCTTAAGAATGATTTATAGAATCATAGAATGTTTGGGGTTAGAATGGAACTAAAAGAACACCCAGTTCCAAGCTCCTTGCCATGGGCAGGGACACTTTCCCCTAGACCCGGTTCTTCAGAGTAACCATCTAACCTGGCCTTGGTTCTGTGCCTTGGGGAGTTCTGTACTTCTGCTAGCAATAAAAATATTACCTCAGATCAATATTACTTTAAAATTTTCACACTGAAGCCCACCAAAGGGACAGTGTTGTAGAATTAACATTAAGAAGAAAAAAAAAACTGCTGTAAGATCAGACTTATTCACAGTAAAATCCAGACCACAAGCTCTGGGGAAAGCAAGCTCCAGAAGGGTCCTTCATAAATCCCACTCTAACTTCCTGGTGAAAATGAGATGTGGCCAAAGGGAGGCAATTCTGAAAGCAGAGTCAGGCTGGTAGGCATTTTATTAGAAATACTGCTCAAAGGAGTTTCTCTCTGTATTTCACAGTTTGCAATAGATAAAGATCCTTTACTCTGGTGAAGCCACATCACTTGTGGCCAGCCTGGGTATTGAAGAAATGCTTGTCTGTAACATCTTTTGTTGACCCCAGGGTATTTACTGAGGACAGATGGCACAGCTCAAGTTATCTTTGTGGGAAAAGAAGAAAAATTCTGCTGCCACTGACACCGATATATGCCCTGGGGACATGGTTTATTGGGGAACATGCCACTATTTTAGAGGTCTTTTCCAGCCTTAAAGATCCAATGAATCTAATACACGTTTTCTATTAATAAAATATTGCTATTTATTTCCAAAACAAACAGAAGTATTGCCTTAAATTTTTCTTATTTGGTTTAGCAATACATTTCAGCCATGTTGTGCTTCTTTTCTTAAACATTCAACTGTTTTTTATACTGTGTTTAGTAATTTTCTTCTGAATGAGAAAACATTGAACCTTCCCTCAAGGAAGTTTCCTAACAGTACACAATAGATGCACATGTGTTGCCTTTTGGGATTTACATAAAACAGGGAAAAATACAAAACTAAAACTGAATTAAATTGAAACATCACACACTAGAAATTAGAAGTCAGAACGTTTGTATCTTTTCCTGGCCTTTCATTCTTCTGAAATGGTGACAAATGCTGTGTAAGGCTCTCTTTGCAACATATTTTAAAGGGCCCTTCAGTATTTTCTCATGAGAAAACAGAAAATAGGAAACAGCATCAATAAAATATGAATCATCAAAGTTTGCATCAAGACAGGCATTAAAAAATTAAATTCGGTCACAGATTTGAAACTTCAGGTTGTTATCCAAGAAGTCTGTGATCTGCTCACTTGTTATTTAGTTCTCTGTTTTTGCTCTCACCAGATTCTGCAGCTTTTACTTTATGTTGCTCTTTTGCCTCATGAATCAGAATCTGCTCTTCCCCATTCTCAATGGGGTTAGAAAACAACCAGCCAAGTTCTATCTTCTCATTTGCTTTATTTTTAACATGGGAAATATACTTTGCACCAGTGACCATTTACTCCTAATCATATACTAAAAATACTTACAGATAGTTCAACTAAAAAGTCATTAAATATAGATGCCTTTTAAAAAATCAGCTGTCACATTGTATTTCTCTTTGTAAACTCTGAGGATTTATTGAATAAATCAAGATTCAAAAGTAGGCATCAGGTATTGAAAAATGGTAATTGAAATGGTTCAAATAAAGAGGATTCATTGAAATTCCACTCAGTACACATTGCATGATCAAAAAATACAATCCAAAAGACAAGCTAAAATAAGACATGCCATTAGACTAGAGAAAATGTTATGAAAATACATAAGTTTCAAAATTATTACCTTAAATAATAATTTTAAAATGTAGATTGATAGACTATACAGATACAATTACCTTATCTGCCATCAGAAAAATAGGAAAAAGTTTATCTTTGAGTGTTTTATGCTGATGAATGTATACTTATGGTACAGTAATTTGAAAACCATTTGTATTAGTTCTCCATATGCTGTGTTCTGGTTTTCAAGACCACTGAGAAAGGATGTGCTTTTCTTATTTTCACCTAATTTCACTATCTTTTTTGTTTGTTTGTTTTGGTTTGGTTTGGGGTTTTT